AATGGCACAATCAAGGGGGCACGGTGCCCCGGTGCCCCCCCCCCCCCCCGTTCCGCCGCCTATGCGCATAACATGTTGCATAAGCACCATAACCAGTTCTTAAATGCCAAAATGGGTGCACTTAATTCGAAACTAGCTCTAAAACTACTTGAAAAGTTTGTGAAAGTTTAAAAGTCGGCGTAATCGAATCGGACGCCCGTAAATGAGCTGTGTACCCTTTTCAGAGAAAGCGGTACGTTACATTGCAAGAGCTAGAGCACGACATTATGGATAATTGGTTCCACCCAAATGAAGAGCGTTAAAATGTCTACATTTTTGCCCGGAAGACCAGTGTCCAGCTTCTCAGCGCTGCCCGGGCTGATGATGGCGACATCTAGGCTCAAAGCGTTTCTTCCTTTGCCAAAACTTCTCGATAGGTGTCGCATAAGACGTGGTAATCTCCTGACTGCACTGTGCACAGCGTCAGCGAGGAGTGTGCACTGGGCACTGTGCGTTGTGCAGCGTGCAGCGACCATTGGGCGACACGGCTCAGCCTTCTGTCTGTAAATGACGCTGGGGTGGGTGCCGGATGGGCTGTGTCGAACGGACCTGGTTCATCGAGGCGGTAGTGTCGGCCCTCGCTGCGAGGGAAGCCATTTAGGAAGCCTATAGCCAGAAAATCCAAAAAGTTTTTCGATTTTCGAAAAAACGGAATTATATGATAGCCCCTACTTCTTTTCACATACCAAATTTTACATCGATCTCTTTTTGGCCACGTTATAGCGAAAAAAAAAACTTCAAAATTGATGACAGAGGTCACCGGTTGACCAAGTACCTTAAAATCGGATATCACTCTCTGCGCCTCGTAACGGCGCACATGCTTTTTTCGCGACGCGCTAGCTCCACCAGGGGCGAAACGGCGAGGGGGTCGTACTCCCCCCCCTCGACCGGCGCGTATGTAGAAAACCAATAGGTCCGGCGAAGGTTAAATTGACCTAAAGGATGGCTTTCCAGCGTACAGATCTTGTCAAGTCGTTTTGATGATCGGTAAAGCGTCTGCAAGTGGTAGTCGCCGCGGCCGTAGGGCTCACATTCCGCACCCCTTTTCACCTTGAGTTCCGTGTTGTTGTGCCTCTCATCAGCTGATCGCTCTCGAGTCCTTCACATTTGACCACGCCCTGCGGCCCCGCCCGCCGCTCCGCTCCTCTGCCGTTCCGCTCCTCTCCTCGCTCCTGCCCGTCCTTGGCCCCTCCCACCTTGACGTCTGAGGTGACCTCTGCCGAACCCGAGGATGGTGGTGTGCACTGTGTACTGCTTTCCAAAGGCACTGGAGCTCTCAATGCAAACGCAGCTTGTGTGAGCATACCAAATTGGTATTTAACTACAATTACGAGGGCGTTGCACAACGACTAGCAGGCGTGCAGGTGTCTGGTTAATCTAGCTGGGCAGACGATTTAGCAGAGCATCTCACGATGCACCCCGAGGTGCTGCGGCGATGTAAACACACGCTCTTCCAATCCGTTCGGCTTGTCTGCGCTTGCATGTGCTTGTCTGATGGTACGGTGATGTTTTGAAATTGAATGGATGTTGAACTTGGAAAAGAGGTAGCCCAAACGTTGACTAAACATGTTCTACGCACTGGCGGATCCAAGAGCCTGGGAGGGCGGTAGGGACATTTTCCCATTCCGCAGCGACGGAAGTTTTGCGAAATCTTTTTTCCCCATGCATCGAAAGAAATTCGGCAACTTCATTAGAAATGGATGCTTTCAAATGGCACAGCAACACATGGAATATTCGAGGTGATGTCATGTCACTTATAGTGACCTCACCTTACAAAAAGTTTCAATATCTGCTATACCTTCACCGAGTGGCCGATCGCTTTGAAACTTTCGGCGATTGATAAGAGCAACAGTATGTACAACATCTACATCTCGAAATTTCGATATCGGTGACTTAAAGTCAGGTCAATTTTGTGACCTCCCCAATCCCCATTACCTATACCCAAACGTACCCAATATTATGCCCAATAGGAGAAAATTGAAATGCGCCTCTTTTGTACAAACGCCATTCTAAACACTTTGAAACACGTATTGACAAGTAAGCATGACACACTGAACTGGACAATGCCACCCTTGACCCCTCGTTATGTCCCTGAGGTCATCTCAGGTCACAAGTGGGGTCTAACCGTTTTTTTTTTTTCGCTAATGACTTTTGATAGATGCATGCTGGAGCGATGAAAACGTGTTAGATGTGCTAGGGTCGACCACACGGATCGACTGATATGGGTCGGCCATACGGATCGACTGATGGGCAACATGACCTTTTCGGGTCAACATGACCTGGACCTTGACCTGAGGTCAAATTTTTAAAGTTGACTTTTTAAGGTCGAATTATAGTTCATTCGACGCGCCGTGAGTTTTTGCCTCTGAAGGCTAAACCGTTGACCTGCTGAGGTCAAATCTGAGAACAATATCTAGAAAGGCCTTTGAAAGAGCTATCGAATGCGCTTTTCCGCGGCGCTTTAGCTCTAATTCTATTGATTCGTGAGTTATGCGTCGGTGTTTCGGAAATTGTTGAACTATATAGATAAAATTTGACTTTTGATGGCCTCTGATGACCTGACCTGACCTAAAAAACGACGAGGTTTTCCCGTCATTATTTTTTACGCTCTTTCGAATGCCACTGTCGCTACGTGACCCAAAAGCCGAGTTAGACGGGGGGCGTGAAAACGCCCCCCCCCCCCCCCAGCATGACACGGAAAATGCAGACCACCAGCACGGCGCGGGATGTTTTTTTTTTTTACTAGCGATTGAGCGAGGCGATTTTTTTTCAATGCAACGAAAAAATGAGCGGCCCGGCACGGCCCGGCCTGTAACGCTTTGGAGAGGCGTATATCTCAGCAACCGTTGTACTGATTGGCCTGCGGTCTTTTTTGTTGGGTATCTACTGGGTAGCCACATCCTTTCAACCCCCGTAATTGACTACTCTTGATGCATCTAGTTGACCGTCGTGACACGTGACACGTGAAAGGTTGAGGGTGTTCGGGTTATTTTGCAGAAGTGGTAATTTTAAGAGGCCTTTATCTCGGCAGCCGCTTAACCCGCGCGGGGCTGGGGTCTCCAGCCGAACGCGCGGGGCTGGGGGGGGGGGTAAATTTTACCCCCCCCCCCCCTGTTATCTCCCGAACTAATGGTCCGATTTGGAAAATTCAAACGCCAATCGAAAGCTCTCATCACGAACTACTAAAAACATGTACTTAATTTAAAGTTTGAGGTCAAGGTCAAGGTCAGGTCAAGGGTACAAATTGCAAGTTTCTACAGTATCGGCCTTGCACCGTAGTTGCCGAAGAATGGAGTCATGGACTGAGACTGATCGCCCAAAACGTGTTCTTAGGCTACCAAGACAATATTCGTTGCATACAATATCATTCAGAGGTCAAGGTCAAGGTCAGATCAGGTCAGGTCAGGTCACCAAAAAACAAAATATAGAAAAGGGCATGTGCGACACATGTTTTATGGGTCATTTTACTCATAGAATTCAATAGGCACACTCAATAAGTGATATGGACCACCTCTGGATGAATTTCAGGTCGAGGTCAGGTCAAGGTCAGGTCAAGTGAGGTCAAATTTTGAAGTTGGTTGTTAAGGCCTAAAAAGGTGTCTATCTGATGCAGTTTTTCACGGCAAATCGAATGGTGCTATTTTTGTTTCCGTACGAGGTCTAGAACTTCCAAAAAAGTCATTTTTCAAAAAAAATTGTGTGTCGTGACGTCATAAAATTTTGAATAACTCCCACATTTTTGAACCGATTCTTCTAAAATTTGGTATGTAGGTGCACATAGACCATTTCTCTGACATATATTCCGGTTTTTTCGATAGACTCAAAATTTTGGATTTTATAATGATTTTCCCAAAAAAGTCAGTTTTTTTAGAAAAAAAAATAGGCCAAAATCCAAAATTTTCAAAAAACCGAGATAGCCATTTGATAGACAAAGTAAAATTACGTATAACCTTTTTTGTTACGTCTTGATTCCTTTAAAAATGAAGATGTTAGCGGCGTTTGAACTTTTGCCGTTTTTGAGGCGAAAATGGCGAACATGACGTCACTAAAACGTCAATTTCTCAAAAATTTTCCGACGGATTTCGCTCAAATTTTCAGGGAACGTGTCAAATTGATGTAAGAAAAGGTATTGAAAGTTTGGCGGCGCTGCGCGCCGCCGTTTTTGAGATATCGCAAAAATTCCCGAGGGGGGGTAAAATTTACCCCCCAGCCCCGCGCGGGTTAAGCAATTGACATGCGGTAATTTTTGTAGGGTAGTTACATCAATTCTACCAAACATTGGATACTTTTGATCCATGTGAGCTACCCCCACTGCAGGTGCAAAATAGAAAAAGAAAGGGTGTAAAAATTGTTCCCATTTCAATAACTCGGTAACTACAGGGGCGATGTTACTGAAACTTGGCATGCAGGTAGGCACCCACCAGGAAATGCATTCCCATGTGTTACGGTTAGGGTGCTACTGTACGTGCGCACGTGCAGGGAGAGCTTCCAGATTTCGAGAACGGCCGGCCCGATTGCGCTCAAATTTGGTAAGTTTGGGGCCCAGTTAGTACGGTGCCATGCAAAAGTCAGCTTGGACCCCGTTTGCACGTGCGCACGTACAGGGTGCGCCTACCAAATCTCGAGATTGCGCTCAAATTTGGCACATCGCTAGAGACCGCGAGTAGGGTGCCGTACACAAGTCAGTTGGAAAAACCCCCTCGCAATTCCGCACGTGCAAGGGTCACCCTCTCGCTCGCTCGTTTGTCGCCACAAAGGGCGTTTTACTGGTTTATGCTAAAAGGATCATGTGTTATGTGAGTTTTCGATGGACCCAATTCAATTATAGTTCACGATTCGCAGTTTTGTGACACTGATGAGCATGTGTAGAATCGCACCAAGGATCTGGGTTTCACAAATGTTGCATGCCATGAGGCCCACGCAGTTCATATACTCTAGACCTTGGCTCATCACCAGAACTTATGAGCATCGATCCTGATGAAATTTTCCGAGCAGAATCAAAATTGATCATACATTCGAGCGTGTCGTTTCCATATTTGGATCCACTTAGATCACCTATCATGCCTGTCGCGTTGTTGGAGATCTGAGCTGTTTGAGAAGCTGTCCGGTCGGGTTGATCTCTCGGACGGCTCCGCCGGTGTGGGTGCCGACCGCGCCCTGCCCCCGGAGCCGGATGCCGGCGGATCGGAGCGGCGCGAATGGCCCCCAGCCGGCAAGTCACGGCGTCGGCCACCGCCCACCGCCGGCCGTATAAAAGGCCGTGCCGCCGGCCGAACTGCACACAGCTCTTCACGCAGCTCTCCAAACACTCCCAACATGAAGCTCCTGGTAAGATGAACATCCAATGCTAAGAGTCTCTTTAGAAATAACTGGCTTCAAAGGGGCTAAAGAAAGAACTTATTGTGAGTGAGGTGTTGTGGGATACATGCTTTCTCAGGACTTTGTGCCTCGGTCTATGGCTTGTCATTCTCCATCACCCCTCAGTTGCTCGTGATCCTTGTTCTCACTACCTCCCTGTCCGCCGTTGCAGGTTGTGCTGGCCGTCCTGGGAGTCGCTGCTGCGGCCGAGGACCAGAAGGCTGAGGATGCCACGTACGTGTCCACGTACGCGGCCCACCCGTACCCGCTGACGTATTCGGCCGGCTACCCGCTCACCTACAGTGCCGGCTACCACGCCCCGGCCGTCTACAGCGCCGGCTACAGCCCGCTGGCCTACAACGGCTTCTACAACGGCGTCTACCACGGCTACACCGCCCCCGTGGTGCACTCGCTCAAGAAGCGTGACGTGTCGGACGCCGAGGACCAGCAGGCCGACGAGGCCACGTACGTGTCCACGTACGCCGCCCACCCGTACAGCCCGCTGACCTACACGGCCGGCTACCCGTACCGGGCGGTGACCTACAGCGGCCTGAGCACGCCGGCCAGCACGGCGCCGCTGGCCTACACCGCTCCGCTGGCCTACCCCTACCGCTACGGCTACTTCTAGACGGACCGACCGACCGGAGCGACGTGCCGGGCCGGCCGCTGCCGGCTGCAGGAGACCGGTGGCGCTGGGCCGAGCTGGGAGGCGCACCGGGACCCGTTGGTGTGTGCCCGGCGTCTCAGCTGCTCGTGCTACCAGAACACGCCACCGGTGCCGGATCGCAGCGGCCTGCACGTGTTTTGACCCTGCCTGAGGAACTGTTGGCATTGAACTTTTCTGGCATTGGTATCATTTGCTTCATGATTGCTTGTGAAGGTTTTTCATTGACAAATAAAAATCATTGAGCAGATACGTTATTTGTTGCAACATTTCACAGGGACATATAAGGGGTCTAACTACCTTGGAGAAAGTGGAACATACCTATCCAGGTGACATAAACAAAAAAAACGCTTTAAAATGCTGCGCAAATCACAAGTTTTATCTCGTTATCCGTCGGAGATGCGAAATAAGTGGAAAGGCAAACACTGATGGCAACACATCGAATCCCCTACGTCCTCGAACCTACGCCCAGCGGAAAGGGTTGGCGGGTACAATCTCCATCGCTGTCTTGCTCCTAGTTGAGCTAAAAACCTAAACGTGAAGATGCATGCGTTCTATAGCAGTTAAACCCTGCTGGTCATGGAGGGGAAGGGGAGGGCGAGGGTGCGGGGTGCCACCCCTCAGACGGTTCTTTTTTCGATTGCACCAAATGCGCTATAGCAATAGAGCTGAGAGTGGACAGACCTGACCTTTGATTCAAGGCGGGTATTTTGACACTAATCGTATTTTCAGGCCAACTTAAGTCACTAAACTATAACGACAAAGTGAGTCTCTGCACGATACCTACTGAACAAGTGAAAAGTCGCAACCTCGCAACGTTTTCAATGTCAGGGGGTCTTTCACCGGGAACCGAAACGTTCAGGACATAGTAACTGTTACTTTTCAGGCTTTCACAGCGTAAACTATATCCCGGATTTTTTCCGACGAGTCACCCAAGGCTTGAGCAAGGCGTCGATAACATAACATCACCGTTATATGTAACAATGGGGAAAATATGGAAACTGCTTTTTGACACCTAGGCTTCTTAACCCGCGCGGAGCTGGGGTCTCCAGCCGAACGCGCGGGGCTGGGGGGGGGGTAAATTTTACCCCCCCTGTTATCTCCCGAACTAATGGTCCGATTTGGAAAATTCAAACGCCAATCGAAAGCTCTCATCACGAACTACTAAAAACATGTACTTAATTTAAAGTTTGAGGTCAAGGTCAAGGTCAGGTCAAGGGTACAAATTGCAAGTTTCTACAGTATCGGCACGGAATATATAGTCTACGACATGGAATGGACAGGAGCTTCGATTAGCATTGCCACGTGTGTAACCAAAAATCAAGGATTTGCCGGATGAATATCCCAATTAGTGAAGGATGCGGATGAATTTTTTTCCACGTGGGTTTACATTTTCATATAAATTTTCATATAAATTTTTCATATAGATTTTCTTAACAATCATTGAATGATTCGAATGATTCATCTTCGTCGTGACCAAATGAAGTTGTGACTGTGACTTTGAAATGGTAACCGTATATTTTGTTGGGAAGTTTAGCACAGATTGTTACTACAGCATTCATACATATTCGTTGCATTACCGTTTTAACATTGGTCTAAAATTAGAATGAAAATTAAAACGCGTTACTGTAAAATTTGTAAAGAGTGGTCTAATGCGGCACGGCACTGCCAACGAATACATCCGTGGCTGCCCGTGGCCGGGGTGGGCCGCCCTGGACGTCCAGAAAACCTTAATGCAGACTGCGAATCGCAAGCGCCGCTTAGAGCGACGGCTGCTGCTGACATATTGGCAGCCTCTGAGGCGGGCGTTAATCTGTCGCCGCTGGAGATGCTAGCTGCTGTCGCCGTCGCCGCCATCGCCAACGAACGGTCCGGGGTGCAGACGGCACCGGCATCGGCCTCCTGTGTGGCCCCGGCACTGTTGGAAGGGCCGCAGGGCGCCGCTGCTGGTACTGCTACCGAGCCGGCGGTGGAGATGTCTCCCATTTGGGACGCTGGAGTGGCCGAAGGCTCGGCTCGCCTACCAGCGTAGTGACGACATAATAGAGGGCTTCGCTGATCACGGCCCCCTCGGCCGCTCGAACGCCTGTGCTGACCATGCGCTGGTTATGATGGTGCGGGGCATCACCAAACGCTGGAAGCAGCCGTTGGGATTCTTCCTGAGCGCTGGAACCACCAAAGCCACCGTGCAGCAGCAGCTGCTGGTACAGTGCATCCGTCGTGTGACTGAGGCTGGACTGACGGTGCTGGCAACAACGTGTGACATGGGCACGAACAATCAGTCCACCTACAGGTTGCTCGGAGCTGCCGATAGCGGCGTCTTCACGGTAGATGGGCGAAATATTATCGCTTTGTATGACGTGCCGCACCTTTTCAAATGTCTTCGAAACGCCCTCATGAAACACGACATTGAAGTTGACGGTGAGCTATCTTCGTGGAGATATCTGGAAGCACTATTTGAGGTTGACTCCGCTTCTTTTCCACGGGCTGCACCGAAACTAACTGAACGACATATCAGACCCAACAGCTTCGAGAAGATGAAGGTTCGCTACGCCGTACAAGTTATGAGCAGAACAGTATCAGCAGCGATTACTATGTATGCAACCTTCAACAAACTCCCGCGATCATCACTCCCGACTGCTACTTTCCTGCTGCGCCTCAACAACCTGCTAGATGTCCTGAACTCTTCTACCCGGTTCAACACCTGTTCTATGCGTCGTGCGATTTCGAGCATCCACCCAGTGACAGCAGAAGAACACATCAAAATTCTCGTAGACGGCGAAGCTTGGCTTCGGCGGTGGACGGTCGGAGACGGCGCCAGCATCGATTCCGTGCGTGGTCTGATACAGACGATCAGAGGGGTTCAAGAAGTATGGAAATTGTGTCAGGCCGCTGGATGCACATTTTTGTGCACACGCCGCCTGAACCAAGACGCGCTGGAAAACTTTTTTGGCATGCACATTGGATGCACATTTTTGTGCACACGCCGCCTGAACCAAGACGCGCTGGAAAACTTGCTTGGCATCGTGCGGCAGCGAGGTGGGGGGACGGACAACCCAGATCCTATCCACTTTCGACATCTGTATAAGCACGCGTCCCTGAATGACCTCCTGTTGGTACCAGCAACTTCAAACTGCGCTGACGACGGAGACAGGCTGATCGCGGTCTTGAGGCAGGTGACGATGGAAACCAACGAACAGCCAGTGACGGCGCCACCGCGCCCGTCCCCTAACACACCGTCTGGAGCAGCGGGGAACTGCCCAGTGGAAATGGAAACCCGCAACGTATTAACCTACGTCTGTGGCTACCTCCTTCGCACTGCCCGCATCAGCTGCGACAGGTGCAGGGCAGTAGTGATCAAACAGGAAGCGATGCCTCTGGTTGATTCAGAGATATTTACGGCCTTAAAGTCGTATACATCCATCAGTACTACCGACGTAGGTAGCCTCCTGCGCCCTACAGAAGACTGCGACGCATTTATTATAGCGTGCCATCAACAGTTCCGAGCTCAAGCTGAACACTTTTTTCACGAAGCACAGATCTGCAAACGGCTGGTCAGCTGTGCACTGGAAACAAAAGAGGCCCGGCAGCTAGCGCAGGAGATGTGCCATCCTGCAGTGCTAAGCATCATGGCGGCAACATACATGCGTATGGAGCTGCACCGCATGTGCAAAAACTTGGTGAAAAGAAAAGCTACCAAGACGATTCAGCGCCCCAAGACTGCGGCGACGAAGAAACTAGCAAAGCTGCAGCACCGGTGACTAATAGGTCATACCTACGGCAGACGACTGCTCAGACATCAGCGGGCAGCGTAAGAGGTGTTATCCTACCGTACCCAATTGTCGAGCGGTGGAGGTCCGGCCGGTCATGCGCGGGAGGCCTACGGGAAGACGCCGAACTAGCGCACTGGCGGAATTGCCGCTGTCAGCCGGCCCTGTGCCGGACGACGGCGCAGCCTGACCAGCTGGCTACCACCTGCTGGGGAGGACCGGGCGGCCGGACGGTGATGAGTCTTTCGGCCACGTTTGGAGCGTCGTGAGCGCTCCAAATTTTAATACAAACAATTTTTGCAGACTTTTGACTTTGTCTAAAAATTTCACCGGCGCAACTCGCACAGTTTCGGAGCAACAACCCGCCAACAGAGACAGACTCACATACATCCATGCATAGTTTTAGAGTTTTATAATAGTAATTTAATTTATGAGAGTGAAAAAATAACCTCACGCTCATTAAATTGAAACGAAAATTGTTAATCCAGAATATATTCTCGTGAATGTCATTTCGTCAGTAGATTAACATGCAGAATTGATGGGAAAGCTAAGCAAAGTGTTTCGCATCCTCCGTGTCGTGAATGTCACCGACCGAAGTGACATTCACGAAAATATTTTTTGGATTAATAATTTTCATTTCGATTAAGCATGAGGTTATTTCTTTTCAGTCTTGTAATGTGTACTATGCTGAAAACAACGTCTAACTTTATTCAACAATAAGTAATTTAATTAGATAAAACTCATCTCGTCCATCAGCACGGAAGTGCCAAAACCACAGCAGCACACCCAAATTGCCAGGTAGCCAAAAACTCAGCAGTTACAGGAAAAATTCGTTTTGTCCATTCCATGTCGTAGACTATATATTCCGTGGTATCGGCCTTGCACCGTAGTTGCCGAAGAATGGAGTCATGGACTGAGACTGATCGCCCAAAACGTGTTCTTAGGCTACCAAGACAATATTAGTTGCATACAATATCATTCAGAGGTCAAGGTCAAGGTCAGGTCAGGTCAGGTCAGGTCACCAAAAAACAAAATATAGAAAAGGGCATGTGTGACACATGTTTTATGGGTCATTTTACTCATAGAATTCAATAGGCACACTCAATAAGTGATATGGACCACCTCTGGATGAATTTCAGGTCGAGGTCAGGTCAAGGTCAGGTCAAGTGAGGTCAAATTTTGAAGTTGGTTGTTAAGGCCTAAAAAGGTGTCTATCTGATGTAGTTTTTCACGGCGAATCGAATGGTGCTATTTTTGTTTCCGTACGAGGTCTAGAACTTCCAAAAAAGTCATTTTTCAAAAAAATTGTGTGTCGTGACGTCATAAAATTTTGAATAACTCCCACATTTTTGAACCGATTCTTCTAAAATTTGGTATGTAGGTGCACATAGACCACTTCTCTGACATATATTCCGGTTTTTTCGATAGACTCAAAATTTTGGATTTTATAATGATTTTCCCAAAAAAATCAGTTTTTTGA